TTCTATGTCTTTATTCCAAAAATAGAACCTACAATGAAAATAAAATGTCAATCATGAAAAGTCGCGGAAATATATAAAGTATAATATTACAAATAATTAATAGTGCATAAATAAATTGAGATGTAACGTAACTACAAAAACTTTTTAAAATTTAACATTTTGATATTTATGCAATCTTTATATTATAATTATTTTTTTGCAAAAATAGTTTTTTGTATTTAAAAAATAATAATACTTTTCTTATCTTAAAGGCATTCATTAAGATAAAGTGATGATGATGATGATGATCATAATAATAATAATAGTAATAATAATAGTAATAATAATAATAATGATAATAATAATAATAATAATTTATAACAACAAAAATTAGAATCAGGATAATATAAAAATACACTAAAATATTTAAAGTTTTTTAGGTTTTCCAATTTCTTGAAGTTTTCAAGTTTCTTCTAGTTCCTTCCAGTTTCTTCCCGTTCCTCCCAGTTTCTTCTAGTTCCTTCCCATTTCTTCCAATTTCTTCCGTTTTCTTCCAGTTTCTTCCAACATCCAGCTCTTTTTTTCCAGTTTTAAAGAACATGCTCTAAGATCTTGTTCTTTAGGACTGGAAAAAAAGAGCTGGATGTTGGAAAAAATTAAAAGAAATTGGAAGGAATCGGCCGCGGGAGAACCGAAAAACACTGGAAGAAATTTGAAGGACTCGAAGAAATTGGAAAAATTTAAAAAAATTGGAAAATCTAAAAAACTTAAAAGAAAATTATTTTAGTATATTTTTATATTATTCTCATTCTAATTATTGTTGTTATAAATTATTATTATTATTATTAGTATTATACCGTTATCTTGACGAATGCGTTTAAGATAAAAACATAATGTTATTTTTCATACAAAAAAAACTACTTTTGCCAAAACAAATTAGAATATAAAATTAGCATAAATATCGAAATGTTAAATTTTAAAAAATTATTATGGTTACGTTGCACTTCAAATTATTTTTACAGTATTTATTATAAAATAATATATTTGTAATTATACTTTATATATTACAAGATTTTGTTTTAAATATCAGACATATCATATAATATGATCAAACCTATTTTTCATTGATGATTGACATTTTATTTTCATTGTAAATCCTATTTATTGGAATAAAGACATATAAATTTTATTTTTGTACACTATTTTATGTTTTACTCCTACTTTAGTCATTTTATCTAAACTATTTTTTTTAATTTTTTTATAAAATTTTTAAACATGAAAAACAAAATTAAATTTTGAAATAAGTAAAAATGAGAATTATATTAATTTAATAAAACACTCTATGTAATTATTTTATCCATAATTTTTTAATATCTTTATATATAAAATTTGAGAGTTGGACTCTCAGAATTGCGACATGTGTCGAGTCCACTTAGCAAAATTTTAACATATCACCCGCCACCTATTAAGGACTTAATGATGTGGCAATTTTATTAAAAATATATAGTATATGCCTTATATACAGAGTGCCAATGTAGTTTTTTTTAGAATCTGTATCTTTATATATTAATTTTGAGAGTTGGCTTCCAAAATTGTGACATGTGTCACGCTTATTGGACAATTTAATTACATCTCAGCAATCATGTCGGTCAACAACCATTGATCGGAACTTTTCTTATTCTTTTCTTTTTGATTTCCAACGATCTTCCTATTTTTTCATGGAAAATTAGCTTCTTCCCAAACTTTCCTTATTGTATTCTTTTTGAATAAATGATATTTTAATATTGTTTTCTTAAAAAATGAAATAATAGAAGTTGATATTTTAATTTTTTTAAAAAAAATTAAAAATTTATACTATGCATATTAAAACGTAAAAAATTTATAAATGGATAAATAATGCATTTGTATTATGTGTAGTAAGTTAATTATTAATTGCTTTTTACAATCGAATAATTTATGGTATAATATTAATTGTTATAAACACAATTATGATCAAATAATATTTTTAAATACTAATTGTTATATTCAAAATTAATTGTTATATTCTTATACGGTACATGGTTTATTTATGAAATAGTACATAGAATTTGGAAATTATAACAAGCTAATACTGGATAAAAGGTATAAAATGTTTAATATTTACATATTTAAAGGCAAAAAAGTTATACATGGTCTGTAATGTCTTTAAAGGCAAACAAAATCGTTACTAACTCTAAAGTTTTTATTTAAAAACTATCATGTATAAAAAATAAAGAATATATATTTATAACACATGCCAAAAAGAAGTATGAAAGACCATCAATAGGTCGACTACAATATGTGACAACGGGAACCAAAGAGTTATGAGAGCTTGAAGACAGTAAACAATGTTTTTATAACTCATTTGAGGAAGCATGTGAAATATTGAGGTTATTAACCGATGATAAAGAATTTATTGGAGGTATAAAAGAGGTTGCTGAGTTAGGATAGGAGAATCAATTAGAAAATTGTTTGTCACATTATTAGTGACAAATATCATGAGTCACCTGCAAATTGTTTGGGAAAAATCATGAGAAGTCCTGATGGATGGAATTTTATTTGATCGAAAGAGATTATTGTGTAATCATGTTATTTCAATAGAAATATAGTTTTTTAATATATTAATCCATATGTAATACATTTTGTTAAAATAAAACTCTTTAATTGAGTATTATGTAGAACTAATTAAGTCACATTTTTTCTAATTTTTTCAGAGCATATAATTTCTCGAAAAGATCTAATAAATTTATGTCTAATTGAGATGGAAAAGTTGCCTAATTCCTGAAAGCAGAACTAATCCAGCAAGCAAGTCTAATCATATGGGATGAAGTATGTATAGTGAATAGATTTTCTTTTGAGGTATTGGATGGCATAATGAGAGATGTAATGAGTTTCTCAAATAAATACCCCAAAAATGAACCATTCGGAGGGAAAAGAGCTGTACTGGAAGGTGATTTTCGACAAATTCTTCATGTTTTACTCAAAGTTTCAAGAGAAGAAATAGTAAGTACTACCATCAATTCTTCAAAATTATGGTCGTATTGTAAACTTTATGCATTGACGAAAAATATGAGATTGTATTCATCAATGTCCTCTTACGCAGATAGGGACACACAAGCCTTTTTCTTATTGGATAATCAAAGTCTGAGATAGAAAGCTTGGGCAAGTGATTGATGGAACAACTGATGTTGAAATTCCATCTGAATTCTTGATTCTAGACACAAGTTAACCCCTCAAGAGTATAGTGGATTTCACTTATCTGAACCTATTGGATATTATGAAAAGTTATTCTTTTTTCGAGGATAGGGCACTACTGGCACCCATAAATGAGGTTATAGAAATGGTAAATGAATGTCATATCCCTCATTCTCGAAGATGAAATGGTGTATTCGAGTTCTGATTCTTTATGCCAGGCAGTTTTAGATGTAGGTGTTGATGATGATTACATAACAGTTGAGTTTTTGAATAAATAAATTGTTCGAAGATCCCAAACCACAAAAATAATTTTTAAAAATGGGGTACCAATTATGTTATTGGGGAACATTGACCAAACATCTGAATTATGTAATGGTACAAGATTAATCGTTGAAGAGCGTTATCGATGCCTTTATCGAGCGTTGAAGAAGTTTACATACCTCAGAAGATTTTGGTACCATCTGATCTAATTACACCTAAAGTTCTAGAGAAGACAATTCCCAATAGTCTTATGTTTTGCAATGACTTTCAACAAAAGTCAAGGTCGAACATTATCATTTGTTGCATTATTTTTAACCACTTCGTTCTTCATTGATGGTTAGATGTATTTTTCTGTTTTAAAATTCAAGACAAAGACATGATTAAAAATATTGATTCTAGATGACAATGGAAACCATACCAAAAATGTTGTATACCCTAAAATCTATCAAAAAACTTGGTGTTAAAAAAATTATGGCCGAGTACACATTCAATTCCTCAAATATTATTTATTCTACTTTGGCATTTTTTTCTATAGTATTAAAAATCATGTCGGAATTATATATTTTTCTTTCGAAAAAAATATTGCATTGAAAAAGTTTCAGAATCGACAAAAAATTCGTTCGACCCCGTGCGTCGCACGGATTAGAATACTAGTATTTTAAAATATTGATGTTTTCATCTCTTATAAAGTAGATTAATATACAAAAAATTGTCTATTCATATTAAAAAGCTGAAGAAAAAATAAAAATGAGTACGAATCGTAAAAATAGTGATATGAAAAAAATAAAATAATTTATAAACTATAGCTATGAACATAATAGTTGTAATAATAATAATAATAATAATAATAAATATTTATCATTTTTAGAGTAATTGGTTGGACAGTAGAAAAAATTTGAAGAAAATGAGAATGGAAGAAAGACCAAAGTAGGATTAAAACATTAAAAATATACTAAAATAGAACTTTCATATTTTCATTTCCTGAAATAGGACATAAAATGCATTTACATTACCAAATACAGTCATGTACATTACCAAAATGTATAGTAATATTCACATGTAAACTTTCACATTACAACCACATTACCACAGTGTGAAGTCCTATTTCGGGGAAAAAAATATAAAAGTTCTATTATGATAGTATTTTCTATGTTTTAGTCCTATTTAGAGTGATTTCTAAATGAGAATAGCTGTAAGAAACTAGAAGGAATAAAAAATACTGAAAAAACTAAAAGAAAGTGAAAATTTAGAAGTTAAGATTTTAAACTCTTAAATCTGGTGGGGCCTAACTATTATTAATGAGCAATGCTAGGGGTACACCAAATGTGTACCCCAAATGTACACTACTTCCTTCTCCACCACCCATTTTTATTTTATTTTTATTTATTAATTTTTTTTTGAATTTCTTACCTTTTTTTGTGGGCAAAGAGGGGGTGAGGGACAAATGGGGTACACATTTGGTGTACCCCTGGCATTTTTCATTATTAATGGTCCCCTAATAATAGGATATTCGGATTATTCTGCTCAAAATTTGTTGGCCATTTTGCGGTATCTAAAGTAATCTTACACAAATCCAGGGTTCGTTTTATTGGTTGGATATACGAAAGAGAAATCGCATCATTTTCCTCATTCAATTTTTAGCGTTTTGAACTTGCAGGGATCATCCTTCATTGCCGGGAACAATGGCTTCTCGGAGGCGAATGCTACTCAAGGTCATAATCCTTGGCGACAGCGGGTAATATTATTATCATGAATTTTGTTTTAGAATTTAATCGGTCTATTTTCTGAATCTCGGCGAGCAATTTCGCAATGTGAATCCACTCGCTCTCGCTAAATCAAACTTCTAGATGGTGTTACTTCAATGATTTTGACGTGTAAGCTTTCCAATAAATTTGGAATCAGAATGTGATCAAATGATAAACAAGAGGCACCTTTTTATTTATTTTGTCATTTATTTTCATTGTTATTTTACATTTCTAGGTAATACGGAGTAGTTAATTTTGGAAATGGATAAGTCGGGGAAATGTTGTGATTTAAACAAAATGAATCTGAGGCATTTATGATCTGTTTGAGCGTTATTTCTGTAGAATTTTGCCACAGATTTTTTGGGTGTTTTGATCACAGTTAACTAAGGAAATTGTAAATCTCGAGAAATGGAGTCTTATGTAGTGCAATATGATGTACCTGAAAAAAATGTAGTGTTCTTTTCTATTGAATAAAAATTTAGTGTTAATAGCCCTAGAGATTCAATTAGCTTTCCCATTATTAGTATAAAATTAACTTGAATTAATGTGGTTTGTTTCTTTTGGTAGGGTTGGGAAGACGTCGCTGATGAACCAGTAATTTCAGACACTCTTTCAAAACTCTGAGTACTAAATGTTTTTTTAAAAATAATATTAGCCCTCTGGGTAAGATGCCACTTTTTATGTGTAATGCTTTCAGGTATGTGAACCGCAAGTTCAACAATCAATATAAAGCCACCATTGGAGCTGATTTCTTGACAAAAGAAGTTCAGGTTGAAGATAGAATGTACACATTGCAGGTTAGACTTAAAAGAAGCTTTAGTGTTGACAAATTCTTTCAGGTTATGTACTTCTCATGAATGTAAATGTGGTTAATATTCCTAGTTAAAGTCTTTGGGATGATTTTGAAGGAAAGTGGAGACAAAGGGTCTCCTTTTTTAACCCTTTTGCGTGATTTTTTTTAAATGAGAACCTTTAATCTAGATGGAGAACCAGGTGACTGTAAGGTTGTTCATAATCAGATTAATAAAAGCCTAACAAACAAATTAATGAAGAACCATGGAGATAAATCCCGAGAGAACCTATTGAGGGCCCTCATCATTTCGATTAAAATGACAATATTATCGGTGCTAATTAATTGTCCAAAGTGACAATTAATTTTCTCCTGAAAAGAATGTAATCAGTGATTTCTTTACCCTTTTTGAAGGTGGTTTGCTCAATTGAATTAATTTAAAGAGGATTGGGGTGAGCCCATTGTTGGCGATGTTGGTGACAATTTTATTAATGAAATTTCTGAAGCTAACAGGGAAAAATTTAGAGAAATGGGTAAGTTGATACTCTTTAGAAATAAGTTTGATAGGCCGATAAAACTGTGAGCTACTGGGCTGAAGCTTTGGGGATGGGATGACCGCACATAAATTCAAGGCACAACATTCAATAAGTATTTTTTCAATGATGTTATAGCAGTTTTGATAGAAATAGCAATCAATGCTATCATTCCAACAATGTCGAGAACGTTTTCTTTATCAATATAAAAAACAACACACTAAGCTCATTGCTGGTGACACTAGAAGTGAGGGTAAGATTCTCTTGGTCGGTGATAACCTAATGAATAATGTCAAGAAAGAGGTTGGCGTTACCATCATTCATAACATAATCTTCAGAGAAAAGACATTTAAAATACTAGACATCCTCTCTCTCAATTAGCTGCGGATGGTCAAGCCAATATCCTCCATCAATTTCTCGATAGTGTTTATATAATAAACAAAAATAAAGAAATGAGCTCCAACAAATATCTTGAATAAATTTATTGAGTTTTACCTATCTTTTACTGTTCCGCACTTTTAGTTTCCTTCTAGTTGTCCTTTATGTTTCCCCTCCCTTTTTCCCTTAGTAATTCCAGGTTCCAAGCGAACCTTTAATTAACTTATCTTTTTTTTTCCTATTGGCGGGAAGTGCCTCCTTAGATATGGGACACAGCTGGACAGGAAAGGTTTCAAAGTCTTGGTGTAGCTTTCTACCGAGGAGCGGATTGCTGTGTTCTCGTATATGATGTCAATGTCATGAGATCTTTTGAGAATCTATCCAACTGGCGAGAAGAATTTCTTATCCAGGTCAATATATATTTCTCTATGAATTGCGCGAACTTTTTTATAACATTTTTTCAGTGTATGTAGCTGCTGATGAAGAGATGTTTTTTATGTTCAGGCCAGTCCATCTGATCCTGAGAACTTCCCCTTTGTTGTTTTGGGGAATAAGACAGATATTGATGGTGGCAATAGTCGGGTGGTAAGTTTCTTGTGTTTTAAGGGTTCTTAATTACTAATGAGCACTGATGGTTGTCTATAATGAGTATAATCTAAAGGCATTTCTACTTTTTCTTTATGTTCAAAAAATCCGACAATTTATTGCAGGTTTCTGAGAAGAAAGCCAGAGCATGGTGTGCCTCTAAGGGAAACATACCTTACTTTGAGACCTCTGCTAAGGAAGGGTTCAATGTTGAAGCAGCCTTCCAATGTATAGCAAAAAATGCACTCAAGAATGAACCGGAGGATGTGTAAGTATGAGTTTCACTTGTTAGCATTTATGTTGCCTGAGTTTTGTACGCTTCTCATTTGGTTATTAAGAGAGCTTAGGCCTTGTTTGGGAACAACGTTTTCAGTTTGCATTTTGGATAATGTTTTAATGGTGTAGATTAACATTGAAAAAGCTAAAGTTAAATGCTACTGTTGATAACATTTTCAAAATGCTAAAGCTAAACGTTGAAGTTGTTACCAAATGAGCACCTAGACAACAAAAAGACTCTTTTAAGATGGTCAACATAGAGTTAAAAATAAGTCATAATATCGAGTGAAAAAAGAGTTAAAATAATAACGATACGTAGGGGAGTATAAAAGTTGTGCACATTTCATAAACCTAGAAAATGGATAGCATAGTAACGCCATATACACTCTTTTCTCCAAATCTCCAATTGTTGTCCCATTAGATTCTCTACACAATTGCACATCCAAGTTTAGCATTACCAGAGTTATAACTCTGATGTCTCAATTTTATATCACCTATCCTACTTTAATAACTATTCTATTAGGGGAAAATATGAAAAGTAAACAACATTTCAATATTCATCTGAAACTCCCTAATTCTCTCTCTGCCAAGATTGAATTGGGACAGAGCAAGTATATTGTGTGAGGCGGAGGAAGCAGTTTCTATGATCCTTTTTCTTATTAATTTCGTTCTGAAAATGATTTGATATATTTCTTTGTGACAGCTATCTACCAGAGAGCATTGACGTTGGGGGCGGGCATCTACAAAGATCAGCAGGATGCGAATGTTGATTAGCTTTACTCAAAATCGGGATGCTGTGTATGTGTATAGATGCTCTTTCATCCCAAATCCCATATTATGCATAAAGCCTTTTACACTGTCCAAACCTTTTAGGATGGATTGTTGGCATCTGGTGATTGGGTGTGTGTGTTATAAATCCTGTGTAATAAACATAATGTGGTTTACTTTTAAATTCCTGATTTTTTTTCATTCTTAGGCCCCGTTTGGTACATGGAATTCAAACTATGGAATTGGAATTGGGGACTTCAATTCCAATTCTAGTGTTTGGTAGCACAAATATTATGTAGATTTGGAATTGATAGTGCAAAAAATGAATTGAAATTGACAGAATTCAATTCTATGGAATTGAATCCAATGGAATTACAATTCCAATTCAATTCCAATTTCACCAATTCCTTATACCAAACGGACCCTTAGGGAAATTCATTCTTTTCATCTATAATTTTTTAGAACGAAATTTATTTGTTTGATTCCATGGAATTAACAATACATGTCTTTATGTTTTCGTGGACATCTAATTAGCATGATGTAACTCATAAATATGCATACACTAATTTTATACGTAATTTGCATGTTTTGAGTATGCATAAAAAAATTACATGTACATTTTTCTGCATTTTTAAAGATCTTTTTATCAAGAGGGGAATCCCGGAAAAGCCTATTCACTAAGAATAACTCTCGTGACAGAAGCGACACCAATTAGGTCGTCCACAATGAGTTCAGCCACCCCCGATGGAGGGTACACATAGATGCTCCAGATAGGCTCTTGAAGAGCACTAAATCTTGCCTTATGGTCCGCAACTAAATTTTGTTCTTGAGGAAAAGCACAAAAGTAATCTTCCCAAACTTATTTTTCTACTCCTTGATTTCATCAATAATAAGACGAGCAGGGCCTCTAAAAAGAGTTTGCTCAATAATCCACATGACCACCTGAGTAGCATCCAACCCACCTCAACACCTTGCACCCCACGATTCCAAGTCCACTGGAGGCTTTTAGCAATAGATGTAGCCTCAGCTTCTACCACATTATCATTTCTAATTTTACTTGTGAAGCCACTCCCATTTGCCAGCTTTGTTGTTAAGGACTCCGCCATAGCCAGATATAAGAGCTCCCATTTGATATCCATCAACGTTGAGGGTCTATTCACGATTTTAGCCTTCCACCATCTAAGCATACAATTACCACGATCTAAGCATACACCTCTCTATTCATATGTTGTGTGATGAACGCGAAAAATATTTCCCTTTCGGCTTCAAGGATCCAACTATCTTTGCATCGTGTGCCAAACGTCTCCACCCAAAGCCTACAGAGTTCTGCCATCTTCAAATTCACCGACAAGTGACTGCAAAGGTGGTCTCCCAGTCATTGAAACAAGCATTCCTCCTTTATCAGGAGATGTTGTTGAACACCCATATCTGCATACTCCTTTCATCATCATGTTCATCTTAGAAGCCAATGGTGCTCCAAACCTGTTTGGCTTTAGGGCATGTCCTGAAGATGTGCTTCGTTGTCTCCACAAGTTGGGCAACCACCATTCATATTGAGGCCTCTCCATTTGCGTTCGACATTCTCCATGACCCTCTCATGACTAATGGCCCAAAAGAAAAATTTTCATCTCACTAGGGACCTTCAATCTCTAAATTCCCAACCAATCACTCTTCTGCATAGAGTCATTAAAGCCTTTAATTAGCCTATAAGAAGATTTAACTTAGAATTTACCATTGAAGATTTAACTAAGAATTTACCATTGGATTCAAGCCTCTAGTAAACTTTGTCTCCGCTCAGATTTTGAGATAGTGCATTTTCAAAGGATTTTGGTGCATTTCGACATGATGCATTTTCAAACCATTTTAGTGCACCTATTTTTGATGCAATCCTAACCCTTAGATCTCACAATCTAAAGCACCAGATTCATTCTTATTTCTTTCATAAGATCGCATTCTCACCAAAACCAATATACATACATGCATGCATATATATATATATATCATTCAAGTTTAATATTATACTTCGTTCAATTGTACTATGTGGGTGACCTTTTTAGGTATTTATGAGTTATGACATTGGTAATAATATTAATCACAATTGATATTATAGGTGATAAGCGGTATCTAGCAACCTATTATAACTAACGAAGTTATAAACATAAAGTGATTGCAACAATATCTCAACAACACATTACAATTGTATAAATTTTACCCCTTTATCTCTAATGTCCTCATTTAACACGAGGTATGAGAAGTGCAACCTTGTTAGAGTTATACCTTTGGGTTACTTATTCTCAAGTAGACTTATGATATTTAGATAAAATTAATATCACATATATTAATTTATCTATGCATGGCCATGCATTTCCCAAGTCACGTCAACGAGTGAATTCAAAAGCATTACACTTCAGCATAATGGAATGGATAAATTCTTTCAAAATCATTCACGCGTTTACATATGTTTAACTGCATACTGAAAACATAATTATACGTCCACCAGTAATTCTGATGGCATTAGTTATGAACCAAAGCATGTAGGTCAATGTATTAAAGATCGTAATGACTTCAAGTCTAAGGATAGTTATACCATTATACCAATGGTCAAATGAGAAGACTACTAACACATTAAAACAATACTCATGTAGTATTCTCATAGTGGGTTAGTCCAGTACCTTATCTCTAGATATGTGTTGAAACACGGGTTTATCACTTTATCGTACTAAAGTCGTGTTCGTTTTTATGACCGGTTTTGATAATGCCAAATCGCCGTGAATGAGACAAGTTGTTGAATATACAAGGCGAGAAATAAAGATGAGAAGAAAGAAAGAGAACAAAAGCTAAAAGAGACCAAGAACGAAGATCGTAGTTTTTAGTGTCGTTGAGTCGGTCACAATGTGATCAAGACCGACCCAAGCTTTGCACTTTGGCTCTTTAGGCTAAAACATATTTTATTGCATTTCACATATCATCAAAATGATTTTCAAACATGTTTAAACATATTAAAAACACGTGGGGTTCGCAGAAAACCAAATCGGTTGGCTATTGATAGTCGGTCGGCTATTGACAATCGGTCGGGTTTCAGCTATCAGCGTTGGTTTTCGGCATTCAAACCAACCAATTGGTTTTCGAGCCTTTTTGTGTGGGAATTGTTTTGAAACTCATTTAAATGGTTCTCCAATCAAAACATCATGAAAACCACCTTTCGGTTTTGTCTTTTGGTAAAAACCACCCGTGTACGGCTTTGACTTGGTCAACCGTGGTTTTTACTTTAACGACATGGTTTTCAACTTACAAACCCTTTTTTGACATCACAATACATGAAATAAGTGTTTTAAACACTTTGATGGGGAATAACCCCACACCAGCCTAGGGCTGACATCAGCATAAATTTCCTAAGTGTTGGGCTTGGATGTTCCTGCCCGGCCCAGAGCTCCGCTCATCCTTCCTGCCCGGCTCTGCGCTCCGCTCGTCCGTCCTGCTCGGCTCTGCGCTCCGCTTGCCGTCCTGCTCGGCTCGGCCATCCAAGCCGAGCCCGAACCCCGCGACAACGACGTGCGGAAAGCGACGTTCAACGAAGACTTGGTGAAAGCGATAGGATGAAAGGGACAAGACGTAAGGACAGGTGACGTCCGCTAGACGACGGGCATCGATTAAAGAGCTTTGACTTAGCTTATTTTACCCCCTATAAAAGGGGTGTCACCCCTCATTGTAATGGACCCGATTTTTGAAATCAATATACTCCTACTTTGCATTCTCTCTCTCTAAAACTTATATTATTTCATACTCTCGGTGGTTTATAGCCATCAAATTGGTGCTTTCATTGAGAGCAGAGGAACATACTCGTAGGTTAACTCCCGAACGCGAGAATGGTGCAAACAAGGAGCAACGTCCCCACCACCAGCCACGTCGTTGGCGAGGAGAACGCGCCGGGCAGCGGCAATGGTACGGGCGGCATCGGTTCGACTCCGGACGCGGTCCAGGCGCTGTTCGGCTTGGGGGTGACCGCGGAGCAGCTCCAGGCAGCCGTTGCGGCACTTTCCGCCATGGGTGGGAACGTGCCCGGCGCCGGAGTTGGCAAAGCTCCGCCC